ACCGTACATTCAGATGTAACTTTAAAATTATGCTCAAAAGTCTTGCCCCAAAGAAAAGGAAAAGATCTGAAAAAGCACTAATACCAAAACCCGTTATTTCTTCCTTTAGGGACAAATAGGTTAAATATGACACTGGTATGTAGGTACTGCCAGAAGTCTATGTAACCAGTTTGAAATTTGAACAAATCAAATTCAAACATAATGGTTGCCCCTTGGCTGACAGAACGCCTACCATCTCCCACGGTCAACGTGCGATGACAGTATGCGCCCAGTGAAGAGTAACTGCATTGGTGGGAAACTGCAAGAGGCCCGAGGAAGAACTAAGGAAACCTGCTGATATTCCAGAAAACAAAATTAATTGCATTTTCTGGTCTAGGGAATTAACTGTATGCTCCGATATATGTGGACTTTGATTACATGAGTACTAGCCATCAATTTCTCCTCATCTACCTCTCATTTTTCATCTACTGTCTCATTCCAAGATGCTGTGACAGTGTAACTTTGGGCCTCGTTGGAGCTTTCTATAACCTTTCTTTAACAAGATCTTTTTGTCTTTGGAGGGGGAGGAGGGCTTATTTATTTTTAAATTCAATGAACCTCATTTAACTTTCGATAGAGCAGATTTCAAGCAGCAGGTTTACTGTAACTGTATCCTTCAATTCCTAGCTTTGAAATGATCATAGGCATTTTGGGGAACGCTCTCTGCCCTCCTTTACAGAAGTTTACCAGCTCCAAACTACCTATCTATAGTAATAGCTATATACAAAACTACCGCATCAGAAGTAAACCAAAGCCACTGCTCTAGTTACAAAGCACCTGGTTTACATTCTGTTGTACTTTTTAAGGTTGCGAAGGCACATGATCATTTGGCAAACTGCAAAGACTGTTTTGGGGGGTCCCTATGTAACCCATTTAACAGAGGATCTTGGTAGCTCTCTTTTCTACAGAAAAGATACATGCTCGTTTTCACTTGAATTCACTCTTGGTATACTCTATATTCTGCAGTTTTTAAACAGTTTCCTCCTTCCACAGTTCTGTAGTTATTTACTGCTGTCATGGTGCTGACTTAGTAGCTTCTGTGTTAGCATCCTTGAACTTAAATGCAAAGAAAAAGTTCAAACTACTTATCTCTGCTCTTTTGATGATTGTATTTACTAGGTAAGAAGCAATGAAGCAAGGAAGAAAAATATTTAAAATGCATGCCAAAACAAATACAAAGTGCTACCGCATCTTAATCAGGCGGCAGAAAACAGGATGTTCATTTCATAAAGTTCTATGTAAAACGTGTAACAGAAAACCAGAACACCCAGCACCTTCAAAGTGATGCCGTAACAGTCTGCTCTTGCAACTGCTTTTTAGCTAAACTTGATTGTACCTAGAAGCTTTTGCCTGTCGCGTTGTGCTACTGGTGATCCTTTTTTCAACAGACAGAAGACAGGTTGTCTACAGTACTATGAATAGTTTGTGCTACACATGCTGCACTCACAGTCAAGAAGGGAATGAAATCTATAGGCTGCAAAAGTGTGAAATGTCTACATGCTTCTTCCCTAAATTTAGCCCCTCCACCTATCTAAACTTCAACTGGTACTTGTTTGTGAGGTTTCTGGGGGGTTTGGCTTCCCCAAATGTTCTGTAAAATGCTGGAGGCATTTACATCACCAGGCAAACACAAAACCAAATCTGTTTATGTGTGATCTCAGCGTATATTTTTTCCCCCGATTTGGGCATTTGTGGAAAGACGTGGTACATATCAGCAGTCAGCATTTCATTCATTTTATATCATGAAGGCCAAATTCTGCCTCTAATGAGCCTATACTAATCCGAGTGATGTTGAGAGGCCACAGTAAGATGGCAGTATTTGGCCTCAAACATTCTCCATCATCATCAGCTGCTAAAGCATTAAAGTACAAGAAAAGATGATTTTAGCTAAGCATAAAAAGCAGAAGTAGATGTATTTAATGACCTGCATGAGTTTAGCAAAAAAGAAATGACTGGACTAATAATATCTGGGGCCATGTAGGACTTAATTCATGCAGAAATGACCTTCAAAATAACCAGGTCTCTATGCTCATACCGTTTAGTTTAAGCTCCACTACAATGTTCCAGTTCCAGCAAATACACTGGAGGAAACAATCACTTACTGACAGGGAAGATGTAACAGATAACAGGTCTCATCTAACTGTATGGAAAAGACAGAGGGAAGGTATATGTGTGGTTAATAAAGACATGAATAGTTGGGACTGGATACTGGTAGTTGTGAAAATAATATTGGATGATAGATAATGTAGAGCTAAAAGCAGTATGACTGTCTATACCTTTGTCCCAACACACACACACATGTCCTAACATTTCCATACTATGGCATGTGCTTGTGGTTGGGACATCATAGAGAGGAATTTTAAGAAATTTGGTGTAACAGACGTGAATGTTATTGGTCGTTTCAGTTGACTTCCTTCATCCCACTGCTATATAGGGCACTCAGTTCTTGTCTACTCTTACCTCCCCAGTCACTAAACATCTACGGGGCACCTTTCAGACTGATTCTGATAGCATGCAAGACATCCAGAAAAAATGAAGATTTAAAAAAAAAAAAATCCCAATTATTTACAAACCAAATTTCTTCCAAAGTTTTGCATGAGTATTACGTGGAACCTCTTAAAGACAAACACACATTACTACAGCTATTTGGAGGGAAACAAACAAATGTGAAAACCAGTAGAAATGCATCCTGAAAGGACTTCTCTAAACAGCAGCCAAACAACTTGCACATTCCTCAGGGAAAAAAATAAAACAGAAAAACAAAAGTACAAACAAACAAATCCCAATAACCCCCCGCCAAAGATCACATACTTATAAAGTGCTTTGCATGGACAAGGATAGCAATTTTCCTTGTGCTTTTCCTATGGGCTCAAGAAGCATATTGTAGACTAATGGGTTATGAATCTTCACAAAAATAAGTTCATTTTAAGCAAAGATAGAATGAAATTCCTAACAGTTATACTTTAGCAGACAATATTCTGCCAGCATGACCTCATGGAAGGAAACTAAGGCTTTTAACAAGCTCTGTGAAACAAATGACTGTTGAACCACCTGTACATACTTGCTCTGATAATGGTTTCTTTCGAAAGAATATTAATTTCCAGCATGCCCGACGTGTACAAATTAGGCCATAGCCCATACAGGGGCTGGAGGGAGAATGAGCACTGACTACTTCACCCCCTCGGAGTCCGTATTTGTAAATGCTCTCACCTGCCTGCTGACCCCAGCGGCCCCAGGCTCCTTCCACCTCTTAGGTATTGGCCTCAGATGATCACCACGGTCTGTCACCGCATCAGCAGGGAGGCTATGATTTCACCGGTCTGCACACCACCACTCGCTCGTTAGCTTCTCCACACTGGAAAGTGGCTATTGCTACTATTTAAATTCCTGCCAATCTCAATAAGGAAAAAAAACTTTACAGCATCTGAAGACCCACAGCAGACAAGAAAAAAGTTGTGCTTTCTTTTTTTTTTTTTTTTTGTTTTTAAAATGCATCCTGTACACAAAATCAATTCTATTCATGTACCAACATGAATCACTTAATTCTTGTAGTGACTATTAAGTCATTCAACTATTGCTGTCTTGCTAATGTTTGCGGAATTAATATCAATACACAGTATTTCAGTTATAATTCCCACTTCAGATTAGTCCGGTCCCTATAACTCCAGTAAATATTTACTGACACACGTAACAGACTACCAGCAACACCGCAGAACTCCAGGGTTTTAAAAGCACGTTCCACTACCAATGTGCGTTTCTCCCTTCGCCTGGGAGCAACTTTCTGCAGACAGAAACGGTCCAGCTCTCCTAGGGAGGGAAGAACAGCATCCTCACCCAATACACCCGTGTTTAGCATGGACACCACATTCACACACATTTAACTCCTTCATTTATTTGTCATGATTTTGTTTAACATCCCCCCACCTCCCACCCCCCAGCAAGAACCTCCCTGCTAGAGGGGCGTCAGTTCTCCTGCCTCGCCTGCAATGGTACAGGGCAGATACAGATCAAATTCTGAAAACTTCTGTCTGAGCTTGAATTTCTTTCTAATGTGGTCTGACTTGCCTCTGTACAAATAATTTACACGTAATACCACATAACAGAGAACTCTGCAAACAGATCACATCACAAGATATTCTACTAGAGGTAAACAATGTGCAGAACTTTATGAGTTGTTTTTTCCCTGACTGGGAAAAAAAAGCTGTCCCTGACTGTCAAAAAGCTACCAACCATTGGAAAACCAGGATTGGAGGACAGGAAAACAGAGCACTCTAACGGAGATACCGCCACCTTCATCCTAGTTTGCAAAGTGTACAAAAGGGAAAGACAAACAGAAGGGAAGAGATGACAGGGAAGAAAGCAATGAGAGAAGTAGTCAGCGTGGATCCAGCAAGTACCGTTTTGTTTTGATCTAACAACTTGCCGCTAGGACAAGATGCTCCACATTACACACACACTTATCAGAGGACGTTTAGTTAACAGGATAAAAATCCTTTAAAAAAAGCTCTTGAAAGTACCAAAACATAATTTTCGGAATGTCTAATTCTAGGGGGGTTTGTATTTGTGTTCAATTCAACCTGAGAACTTTTTTCCCCATTTACGACAACATTACATATTGGTAAGGTACCTGGCATTAACCTGCACCCTCATTTAAAATAAAACTTTTAAAGTAGGTACATACACCATTCACAGTCTGTATCAGGAATTCTACAGACTTCAGATGCTGTGGTAGCATCTTTGATAAATACATTGTATCATATGATACAAAAGAAAAAAATAAAAGAGAGGACAATCTCGCTACATTTTTTTTTAAACCTCAGTTTGTTGCTGGACCAACAAAAGAAGGATATACCTAATCCTTCCAAAAGATGTTGTATATGCACACACCAAGAAAATACTGGAAAAGGAAAAGGTTAAGGTTGGTGGTTGTTGTTTGTTTTTTGAAGAAGTGATAAAGTAAATGTGAAAAAAGGTGCAGCAGCATCCCCTTTTCCTTCAGATTAACATCTTTGCCTTTAGAGTAACATCTTCTCCAGCTCCCATCACCCCACGCTTTTAAATTTTCTGGAATAAAACCGAATAGTATAGACGAATTTAGGTGTTTGACATGGTAATACAGTGAAAAGGGGATACTGCATTGTCCATAAGTGAGTACACCGGGGTAAAAAAAAAAAAAGATCAGAACGGAGGATGATTCTTTTAAATTAGCACTCATCAGAGATTCAGCCTCTGATGGTACGTTGTTAGAAGGAGAAAGCCCACCGGCAGACCACCCAAAGCAAGTCTCCTAAGTTGCAGCAGCAGTTCCATCCCCTCATGCCCGAGCACCACAGTCAAACCACGAGCGCCCTCTCCTCTCCTCTCTCCTGGGAATGATGCCAACGGCACAGGCAGCCACTGCGGGTCTCCGAATGCACGTGGTGGTTTGTGTTGAAGGAGAAACACTGGCAGCAGAGGATTCTGGTTCCCAAAAAGGTACTTTTTCCCATTGTGTTGGACTGGCAGTTCCATTCTGCTCCACTTTTAAGCTTATGGGTATCTTTTCTAAATTACTTTAGGTTTCGTGGAGCAGAATAGAGTTTTGATGTTAAGAAACTGTAGGAACACAAGACTTAAATAACAGAGTGGGTGCTGCCATGGTGCTGTGGCTACTTGAACGCTGCAAATTCTCCTGTAGAGGGAGGACAAGAGCTTGGTTTAAATAGGTGATTTCAGTTACTAGGTGGTCAAAGATTTTCTTCAGACTAGTTAAACATTAGGTTGAATATAAAAGATGTTAAAAAATGCAAACTGTTAAAATTAAAGCACAAAAGAATACACAGTGAGAGAACATTGACTACAGACCCAGCATATTTTACCAAAAAAGAATTTCTTGAAAGCAAGCTGTACCCATTCTTCCCAAGACAGAGGTCTGAAAGTTCAAGCAAAGTTTAATTCATCATGCATTTGAAAATAAAATGTGTCAGTTTAATTTCACTTTAAACTCCTTATTGCACATATATCCTCCTGAAAAGCAACAATTGCAATACATGCGTCAGGCTGCAAACTAATTTCTATTCTGGCGTAAAACTGGCTTAATAACAAAGAACTATTTGACACCCCCATTAACCTTTTAAGACTATATACAGTAAAGTGCCTGAATATTAAACCAGTATTGAGGACTGCTAGCGTCTGGTCTAGAGACCGACATAGCAACCTACAGTGAGGAAAAAAAATAAGAATCCTGAGATTGTCTACTCACTCCCAGACCAGAAATTAGGCCTCACTAATAGGGAGCACAACAAATAAAGCAACCCCATGCTTCCTTCAGAATTACTAAATAAACAATAATCCTATGCAGTGCTTTCACATACAGCGATCTCCTGAAATTCTACATCGTTTATTTGGTGTCAGCACTCCATGAGATACACTGGTAGTCTCATTTCAGACATGATGAAACTATGGCACAGAGTAAAATCGCTGCATAAAGTCTTACGGAGTTTGCTGAAACACCGAACAGAAGCTGAATCTAAGATACTCATCCTCTTAATCTTACCCTTTAGCCAAAAAATTTCCCTGCCACCCACAAAGAAATTGTATTTATATATATTTATTTTATATTTATTTTATATATATTTATATATTTATATAGGAATTTTAGGGAGGGGTGTCCAACTATGCTTAACCAAAAGGATTCAGGAGCACAAGAAAAAAAAAAAAAGCATGTACGTAACTTCCCCTTGTTGGGTTTCACATGAATTTGGGGTTAGTTTATGCCTCTTTCTTGACAGCACTCCTCAGAGCTCTCCTAATCATGAAAGAGCGATAAGCAGACATAAGAGACCCTTTGTCCTGTTAAAGAGAAGTGTGTTGAATGTCATTACATCCAAACAACTGCTCCCTATCTTGGAGGCTTGGATCCTTTCAAGAGCAAGTGTTTTGTTGGCTTTGTTTTTTTTCTTAAGATTCTTATTCTGAATATTGGAAACAAACCAGAAATATCCCTGCAAACAGAATTTTAGGCTGATAGCGTTAATTCCATGGAGTGTCTTGCTCTATAAAGAGGAGAACCAAGAAGACTGATGAGCAGTCTGCACGGCGAGGAGGAACAAAAGGCATCTACAGGGTCTGGTAGGAACAGCTGATCTAAGGGAACCTGAAGAAAGCAGGGAGAGGGCTCTGTGCATCGTAGGAAATGAGAAGGGAGTACACCCAAGGTTTAAAGTAAGGGTGGCTGGAATGGGGGGCTGCGACAGACCTCAAGCTCTATCTGTCTTGACAGACTGTGGTGATAAGTTTAAGTTATAACAACAAAAGAATAAAAACATTATGATGGATCTAATTGCCTATTTTACTATTTCTACCAACAGAGAAAACCCTTGCTCTAAAATAATCACACTTCACTGATTTCCCAACTCTCTTCACAGTATCTTCTAGAAATACCTCAATTTTTGTACTTTTTTTTTTCTTTTAAGAGAAGGACAAAAAAGACATCAAGTGTTGCCTGCAAGGCTAATTTTTAAGAATGACATTCATGCTTAGCTACACTTTCAAAACATGCTCTACTTAATTTATTTCTCAGTCTGCTCTCCTAAACTGCTGATTAAAGATCAATTTATAAACAAGAGATTGCTCCCTCATTACTCATCTTGTCCTTCTGCCCATTTCTGGTAATAATTCAGCTTTTAATAGTCGTACAGGGATTTCAGAAGATAAAAGATGAACCATTAATTGGGAAAGGGCAAGGAAAAAACAGGATCAGAAGTTAAGAAGCATTTCACATAAAGGTAGCTATAAAAAGGTGATTTTTCAGACTTTCCTGCCATTTAAATAAAACCTTAGCAAAGACATTTTCTTTGACAAGCTAATGCTAAATCTCCTCTTTCAAAATGCAGGTGCTAATCTGATCTCAAATCAATAGGAGACAAAAATAGGTAACATGTTCATCTAATAACGGGATTATGTCTGTTGAACACGTATAAAATGCGGTTACCAGTAACAGATTTCCCTCCATGAGGAACGTAGATGGCTATACCTATCCACGTACAGCAATCCTCCAGCCTGCTAGGTGGTGTTGGTTGACTGGTCTTCCTGAGGAGTAGCTAAAACATTTTGTCACCCTTTCTATTTTGAAGATGTAAAATATTTGCAGCTGGTTCTTGTATCTTCTGAAAGAAGCCCCATCTGTAGGAGAGGGACAGAGAACACAGGCAACCTCTTCCTGAGACTTAGATGCATACAGATAAATGAAGTAACTTGAACAGTGAATTCACCATTTTCTAGCAAGAAAAGAAGGTCTTGCCTGAGAGCAATGAGTGGACGAAATGAAGACAGCTTTAGGAATGTGCTCCGATATGCCCCATCCTGCAGGAACAGGATCATCCTGATTCTGCCCTAAGTCTTTGGATGCCATTCTGTAATGGCCAATGCTAATCTAAACTGGGACTACTGCAGCCTCACTCTCTCTCCTGACCTGAGCTGTAGAGCAATGACCTGCCTGCTGTGTCACACCGGCACCACCTGGCCCGGAGGCAAGATGGCTCAAGGACCTGACCTAGCAAATGCTAGCTCAGGCTGGTGGGCAGGGAGAGTTTTCCAGCCAGTTTTTGGAGAACTGCTTTGTTGGGGGGGGGAACTGCTCAACTGCATGGAACAGACTCGTGGAATTGGAGAGCATTTGCCAGTGCAAGGGTAAGGAGATTGGCCATGGCTGCTCCAAATAACGTCAGTTTACCACGAGGCTACGAAACCACGTACTCAGCAATTTGGGATGTGAAAAAAAACCAAAACAAAACCAACAGACATTTTTATTCATTGTAAGCCAGATATCTGATGTGCTTTTTACCAAGCAAAACTTCAGATACTTGCTTTGACTGGTAACAAGGAAATTCCTTTTCACAGGATGGACAGCATTTGAAAATCTACACTTCTTACAGAGCCCTTTCAAGTTAGTCGCTACAGTCTTTTCATGCTTATCACATGCAAAGCAAGTGGAAACTATTTTAAATGCACACTTTCAAAAAATCTGTACTAAAAAGATGATCCAGTTCTTTCATGTTATGTTCAAATAATATATTATAGTTCTGAGCGAACCTGCTGCCCCTGTTTCCTGGTAGGATTTAAGATGCAGTTACTAATCTCTACTCTCACAAATTTCTAAGTTACCTGGATTCATCAGGTTACTAAGGTATATACACATCTTAACTGTAGTCCTTATCCTTGGGTAGATGCCATGCTCTTTTAGAAGAATTGTATGAAGAATGGCTCCCTTCCAGGTCTGTGCCTGCCTTGTCTACTGAAGTAAAGAGTAACAGACTTATCAAAAGGAAACACCAAATTCCAACACCTTGCCTGGATTACATTCACAGACACAGGAAAAAGTATGACAGAGAGGCAGTTTTCTGTTGGATCTTGTGTTGATCTTTTAGTATGGGTATCACCCACTGGATCAGTACAAATCTGGAACATACCCTGATGTGGATAATTATTATCCTCAGAAGAATATACAGCAGCATTTATGAGGATGTGGTCCTTCTAGATGGTACCAAAACAGACTTTGTTTCTATACTGAGATGCAGGGAAGTAAAGAAAAAAGGAATCTCACGTAGTATAAGCTACCCCTCCAGAAAAGCCTGGGATTCTACAGACCTTCTTTTAGGACCAACAGGTGTCTGTTTCTAAACAATATAGCTGAATTGCATCTTTGAGAACACTGACCCAAATCCACAGATGTATTTAGGCATCTTCGTCCTACATATGTTCCCAAATCTCATTTGAAGCAGCAATTACAAACTACAGAAGTTAAACCCCTAAATGCCTTTATGGCAGATAAAGTTAATGATCCACAAAACCCAGCCTCCTTTTAGGCTTCATAAAACGTTTCATGAGAAGCTAAGCTCGCGTTATGGCCATAGATCCCAAACCGCGCTCGACGTGTAAGAATAAGTGACACAGGAAGAATTCTAATGCACTGAATATAGTGCAGAAAATGGGGCCAAATGTGTCTAAGGATGGCAGCATTCCCCCCATCCCCCTAGTTGCAGTTCCAATAGCACAGAAGAACAATCTTAACAACAAGGAGGATAATACTACTCCAAGGAAAAACTTGTTTGAATTGATCTGGCAGACCTGAAAAAGAGTAAGCCTGGGCAGGGCAGTGATGATGGTTCTGCACTCTTCGTAACTCCCCATGTGGTTAAGCCTTTGCTGCCTGGGATGGCACATTTCTAGATTCTGTAGGAGACCCAGCAGCGCCCTTTTGCTCTTACTGAGACAGGCATTGTAGGCTGTATTGAATACCATACCCCAAAGCTTAAGAAGCATTCCTCCTCACTGTCTAGAATAGAAAAAATAATTAACAAATTAGAGGGGAAAAAAACTCACTTAAACCCTGTTTTCATTTTAAGACAAGCCTGCCAAAATGAGGTGAAGCTACCAGAAAGAAGGGAAACAGATTTTCTAAAACAATAACAGCTTTTGTCCTCCAAAACTATTTCCATAGAGATGGATTTCAACAGCTTTGTTTTCTTGACTAACAAAATGACAAGAGAAAGGTTAGTTCCCAAACTGTTCTAACAGCAAAAGCCCAAAAGACCATTAGAATCCAGCCAGAAAACACAGAAATTACCTTCATCTCTTCAAGCTCTCTAACTCTGCCTCCTGTTTTAAAAGGCTCAGTTGCCAGACAGCAGAAAATAAAACCTTTTTTGAATCCTGATCTATTTCAAAAACCTATTGCTAGCAACATACAAACTTCTCCATAAGTATGAAAATCAGAAGCCATTAAGAACGCTCCTGGCCCCTGAAGTCCTGACAAGAGCAGCAATAGCTTGTTTCCAATGCAGAAGAATCTGTGAAAATTAATAGCTTAGCAGTTTAAAACAAACAAAACCACATAACTAATTTCAAAATATGCAAGAACACAGTCAATGACATTACTGTTTTCTACTGACATCAAAGACTAATATAACCTGAACCACTACTCTGATTCACCTGTTCCAGAGGAATGCTCTGCAGAAAAATATGGTATTAATGTAAACCGGCAGGATCTTGGAAAGGTGTCTAGCTTTCTCAGTTAGGTATCTAGTCTAACTGATTCACTTCTAGTGAAACCAGCAGCTTTTATATGGAAGTGAAAAAAAAATTCATTACTGAACAGAAGCATGTTCACTTGTATTCTTAAAAATATTAAAGCAAAACATTTTATCTTATTCAGATATACCAGAATTCATGGTATAATACTGATTTCCATGAAAACAACTGCTTTCTCAAATCCTCTTCTCCTATTATAGGTGTCAGCAGCCTTTTTCTCTTAAACTATTTGGTTCTACTTAAGATACAATTTTTTTTTTTTTTAATTCTGAAATCTGTGCTAATTGAAGAATAGGCACCATTACCAGTAATATTCTTGCAGTTCAGCAAAAGCAGATTCAGAATTTCTTCTATGTTGCATTGTAATGGAACATTTTCAGATGGTCTAAACTATAGCAGGTAAAAGTATTTAGGCAAAACCAAAAAGTAAAAAAAATCCCATGCCACCACTCCTCTGCAGGAAGAGTTGATCTCTAAACAGCACTATTTTAAACTTCAACTTTCAAAATAAGAGTCACATATCACTAAGGTCTTCCTTTGGATTCTGTGTTGTATCTGCTCCCTTCTGCTGACCACAAGAAGTTTTGACTGTGCTCAGCCTTGAAGCCAAGTTTATTTTTCCAATTGTTTCCCACATATGAGTAGCATTACTAACCGAGGAATCTAAAGCCTATTGCTCAAATATAATGACCTCAACTGAAGTGAAAAAAAAACAAAACGAACCAAAACAGCATAGCTTGAGTACATTAAAATCAAATACACTCCTGAGTAACTAAATCCAATCAATAAACTAGGCAAAAATGACACAGGCAAGCAAAAATGACACCCAATGACCTTACGAGGATTTTTGCTTGTTTTGAAGTTACTTTTCCCATTTCTTTTAATGGAATAATAATTCTTCTTGTGCCAGCTGTTCCCAGGGCATTCCTTACCACCACAGACTTTGGGCTCAGGACATTCAATGCCCAGTGTTAGGAAGTGAGTCTTCATTCCCCCCAGTAAACCTTTAAAACATAGCTGGTAGGAACTGAGAACGTACACGTGTGTTGCACGCACAGGAACACACCAGCACACAGACACACAGGCACACGCTTTCACATTTCTTTTCAGTGTACTGGAAACCCACCGTATCCCCCTGCTTGGATAGGTGTTTTTGGAGAAGCACAAGCATATAGACTAAAATCCTCTGTCTGGAAGCCAGCCCGGTTTAATGAGGGCTCAGATGCACTGCGGTGAATTTTTGGCAATGACCGGGCCAGAAGCTCAATGGAGGCAAGAATCTAAAAATAAGTAGAAAATAAGTGATCGAATCTGTTGTTCCAAAGCTGTAACAGTCTCTTAAAACCAAAGGCAGAACATCAATTAACTAAAGAAAAATATTTATACAGAAATTTAAACTGAAACTTTTAAAAATAGATTGCTGCATCGCACTCTGATGTTTATATCCTCAAAAAGCTGAAAAGTACCTTTTGGGAAGAAACTGCCTGATCTTCCCCTTTAAAAGGGCATACCGATTTCCCTCTGTGAGCATAATGAATATAGTTGCTTTTATTTGCCTCCTTGTTTATGCGCTAGTACCTATACCCACCATCGCTGCAAATAAACACAGCTTTGGCAGCACTTTGCTTAATACCATTTACCATCATGCCAGCAGGGGGAGCTCCTTATTTTTTGAAAACGCTTTGGTTATATTCAAAACAAACAAACAAAAAAAAATAAGCCCCCCTCCAGCTTTTAGAATCCAAACCTTCCTCAGCAGGCACAACAAACCAGGTTTTGTAACAAAACTATCAGTTTCCCTTCATAAAGCTTGGGGGAGAGGAAGGAGGAGGGGTTATAAAGATTTCTGAGAACATACACAGCAAGTTCTAATTTGTGTGTCTAATTACGATTATTAATTTCACTGTCTCCCACTTGAAACTTTCTCCAACACATAAATGCTTCTCCAACCACACAAGTCATTTTAATACCTGCTTTTTGAATCGAAAATAAACATTTCTAATTAAACAGCACTAACCAGGTACCAATCCGGTACTCTTATGGAGTCATGCTACAGCACTAATCAAAAACTTTTTGAACTGACCAGTGAGTTCATAATTGATCTTTATTTTTAATATTTGAATTGTAAAATCTACTAAGAACTAAAGAGGAAGATTTCTCACCTGTGGAAAAAGGGGTCTCTCATCTCTCTTCTTTTTTAAGCATTCAGCCATTAGTCTCTTCATAGCTTTTGGACAGTTGCTCCGTACTTTGCTGAGGTCTGGAGATAGGTATCCTCGTCCCACCATAAAAATTATCTTTATTTCAGGGGAAAAAAGATGAAGGGATAAGAAGATGAGTCCATAAAACAAACAGTAACAAAAGATTAACATTTTGCTAGACCATTTTAGTCCCAGCAGCAAGTTTTCTGCTCCCAGGAATCATTATCTGGTATCGAAACTGCCAAGTTTCTTAGAGTAATGCTTGCTAACCTATTCAGTACAGGAAAAAAAAAATTAGATTTTTCCTTCTCCTCCTAAAAGAGATTTCTGTGAAACTTGAACACTAGCAAATGGTTACCATTTACAGCAATAACCATCTAAGAAATGGTTCTTCGGTGTCAAAAACTGTTATAAAACCAAGAATAAGCAACCCTGTGGTAGGAACAGAATGCCTAAAAATAAGTATTCTGTATAAATAAATACTCTGTTTTATAATATAAGTCAACAGTAAGTTCACACTGAAAGGTATTTTAAGAAACACATGGACTTCAGATATTAAAATCCCTCAAGAATAAATTCCTTCATATACTTTTCCACCACAAAAACTTATTCTCGACATCTGACCACCTTCCCCATCCCCCCAAAACAACCACAACAGAAAAAGAAAAACTGCCTCTCCTCTGTAGAAGAGGAGACAGGCAGGCTTTGTATTTTCACAGTAACTCCTTTAACACGGAAGGCTTATATTTCACTTAAGGACAAAACTTAAGCATAAAACAAAGTAAAGTAATAGAAAGGAGGAAAGCATAGCATAAATATAGTTAATGTTCTCTTGGATATATAAAAAACCCACCAAACATCATCATGTCAAGCCAAGGTCAAATGCAATGTGGTTTGAGTACTGCAGTCACGCTGACACTAAAAAGCCCTTTCAAACTAGCTAATCAAAGATCCATTCATGCTGCAGCAGATAATCACTACCTTTTCTGAATACTCAGACAGACCCTGCAGGTGTATCATACCTTATATTTAATGAAGTGTAACTATTTCGTATCTTGACACTAACAAAAAAACCCAACAGAAAGACCCCACATCTCAAGCAAGCTTTACGTTATTTATACTAACATAATCTTGGTCCTTTTTCAACTTTCTGATTCAGTCACATCTGTGTTGGCACCAAGGAGTACAAAAACTCCCATATGGTTTCTTTAGAAATCCCCATGTACCAGAGCAGCATTTCAGAGTAAAGAGTTGTCTACCCTGTCCCTTACCTCTGCTGAAATGAGACTTATCATCATCTAGAAGTTACATTTTTCTAAGCAATTACACTACTTATGCTGAAACTATTCAAAATTTGTTATGATTTATGTTTCCAGTACCGTCTTTACAAATTACATAGGGATTAAACTTTTATTTTAACTACAGAAAAGACAGTATCAGTACAAGAACAGTCCTAACCTGTCTAGAAAAATCTGTTAAGGTGCAAGAAACACTCTGAAGTGTAACGAGAACGATGCTTTGCTCACTAAGATTCTTTGTTATGCCATAGTAGCTGGTGTAGATGCACCAACAGACTGGTTTTCAGACAACAGGCTGGGAGTGACAAAACTCAAGGCATTAGATCCCATTTTACATGTTGGCTTCACTTGCAATTTAAAATTTGTTTCAGCACTCAATTGTGAGCACTCACATCACTGGGTTCCTCTGTCAAATCTCAAAAGGTAAAACCAAAACAATACCCAAATACTGCTTTTAGAAGGCTATATCCATCTGGCCAGGAATCTGGACATTTCCCTTCTTTCAAAAGGCAAAACCAATTAATAATAATAATAATAATAACAACAACAACAATAATAATAATAATAGGAGTCATTCCAAATTTGATGAATTGGGATGAAGTGTTCCGACAAATACGGAAGCAGCCTTATAAAATGGCATTCACAGATGAACGTTGCTATGGTTGCAATTCTCAAGTACTGACAGTGAAAAAACAAGGGATGCGGACACAGAAACAACATAAATATATCACCGCCCAGACATGGAATACTTTACACCAAAGATCTTGATGCATAGATGCTATTTTCAGATTAGACAGAGAAATAATGAATCAGATATGCCTTCGCAAACATGCCTATCCTGTGGCGATATATTACAGGTGTGTGGAATATTTGTTCACAATTAAGTAACCTTACAGGATTCACACACTCTGTAAAGTCATATACTCCATCTGAGAAATGCTGATATCCCGAAATTCAATTAGATGGTGCATGCATTTCTCAAGATTGAAATGAATATAAAACATTCAGCGAGATGATTACCGTTCCATTTTGTCAATCCTGTTGCTGAACTATTATTCAATGCAAGGGGGGGGGCCGGGGGAGGAGAGAGGAATAAATGAACATATGGAGGATCATTTCGCCTTTGCAGAACTGTTCTAAACTAGATTACTATTAAGTAACCTGCTCTCTCCCTAATAAGTATCCTGGCAACCAGATCAGAAGCTGAAAATCTATACTTGAAGTAAAAAAGAACAATCAAAACATCTCAAAGAAGTAAGTAAATTGGTGCTACGTAGCTGAGGCAGATCTAGAAAATGCAGAAATGACATCTTGTAACATCAGAATCAGAAACACAAATCAAACACACAAAAACCATCAGAATGCGGACTTCACAAGGCTGAATCAATCTTGGTTTCAGGCCACAGCTGACTGAAGTCAAGCCCTTCCCTTACCTGGTCCCTGTTGTTGATGTTTGAGTATGGTAACTGTCCAGTCATCAATTCATAAAGAACAATCCCAAACGCATACACATCCGACTGAAAGCTATATGGGTTTTTATCTTGCATCCTGATAACTTCTGGTGCCTGTACCATAAAAGGAAAGAATTAGTTTTTCTTTCACCACATCAGGCCTCACACACCAGAAACAAAACACGGACTTGTCCAGAGTATAACAGGTGCAAGGCCCACTCTTGCCTTCAGATGTTACTGGGTCCTAATATAGAATGGATGTTGACATGAATCTCCAAATCCATTGGTTCTTTTTAGCTAGGTGATTATTCCTCTACAACAAAACAGAGTGACCTTGTCCAGGCCGAGAAGCTATTTGGAAACTAGAATTATAACAACACTGAAAATAATGCCAACTAAGAGAGCCTTCATTTTTTTCAGAGAGAAAAGGAGAAAGCAGAGTTGCACAGGAGGCTGTAACTATACTTATTAAGACTTAAGTGACTAGTATGACCTCTTGAGAGTAACCGATCCTTAAAACTTAACAGCATCTTCCTTTTGGCTGAGCTAGTTCCTCTGCTCCTTTGCAGAATGTTTTCCATGGCTTTTCTCACCTTCTCCTCAACTCTGGATTAAACACACACTTTTTCCTTAGCCACCATTTTCTTTTCAGTTTAAATCTCAGAATAAGGGACAAAGACACTAAAGGTTTTTTCCTGACTACTGGAAAACACATGCTTGAGGAAGAACTGAAAAGCATTCATTTAGTACTTCATATTACTGCTTGTCTTTTCCAGCTTAAGCCAGCTTGTGTATGAAAGCGTGCCGGAGGAAGAGTCTTAGAAACTTTGGCCAAAGGCAATTAAATTTCTTGAAACAAACACACTACTTCCCCCTTGCTTACCATCCATAGAATGGATCCAGACAACTGTTCAAACTGATGGGATCCGCTCCATCGTGATTTCACTGTAGCTAGACCAAAATCACCTATTTTTACTGTGAGGTCTTCATGAAGAAAAATATCTAAGGGGAAAATGTTAAGGGAAAACAAACAAGAGGTACCGGTCCTGTCCTACAAGAACAATAAACAGCTACAAATTTAAAACATTAAACGTAACAGTTTTAATTATCTAGCACCGCAGAAGAAGGTTTTCTCGTAATATAGATTCTAAGCAGCCAGCCTAGTGAATTATGGTACTGAAGGGCTACATAAAAAATGACTGGGCCAGTGCTGAACAGACCATGGCCCAGGTGGCTTTCTTGAAATGCCAAGTATAAGATGAAGAAAATATTCCCCGAGTGAACTGACATAATCTTTCATTACATGTAGAAACCAAACGATGCAAAAATCTTTGTGATACCACAACACAACTTGCTATGTTATTGCAATAGGCATAGTAAGTGTTCCCTACTTTGCTACCAGTGATATTGCCCCTTCTCAATGAAATTTCAACTCAGCAAATATTCACACATGAACAGCTTTTCACATCAGTAAGTTCAGTGCTGGCAGAAAAAAGCCCCAACCAGGAATGCTGTCACATTCCACAATCACATCTCTGGGAAAGGATACTATTACTCTTGAGGTCTCTGTGGATGATTGACTTGGCATGCAAATAACTGAAAAGGAACATCGTAGATTAGGTAGGTTAAATGATATTTCATTAATGAACAACTCAAAATTCACTGTATTACTAAAGCACATATTCTGTAAATATTCAAACTGCACATATTTATCAAGGTGGTAAAACTTCAGTTACCCGTTACAGTTCCTGCAAGTCACAGGAAAAAAAAACCAAAAATAAAATAAAGCTTAGATTTCCAGCTCAAACCTGATGCTACTGAAGAACAAAATAACAATTACGCACCAACTTCTGCTTTCCAGTTCTAACTCAATATTCAGAATAAAAATGAAAGAACTTCAGTAGTTTTTGACATGCCATTGAGTGCTGAAGGTTCTGCCTCCCAGCCTTAACGGTGACTGTCAAGACACTTTGTGGGCTAGTCACAGCTTTAGGTAACGTGTTTCTAAATTGCGGGAGCTAAATGTGCTTTCCAGTCTCTGCGTGTACTCAAGTATACTGACTGCTTTTTTAGTATGGGACTGGAAAAAAGATCCCCTGATTTCAGACTGGATAAATAGATTGCATGGAACACAGAGGGGAGTACTTGCCCCACAGCATAGATACAGCCTAAATTAGGAAGTAGTCTCCCATGGCTCTTTGTTTAGTCAATGAGATTGGCACAAACCTGCTGGAAAAGCCCCAATTTATGTCTCTGCTTTGAATCATGCTCATAAAACAGCTTCTGCATCTCCACTACCTACAGAGGGAGCCTGGGGAGATGAGCAGGCAAACAGAAGGCTGAGGCTGGTTGCTGCAAACACCTCCCTCCCTGTCTCTTGACTGAAAATGTAATAGAATACTTAGTAGAAAAATGGCACAAATAACTGCAATCATCATAGTGGTTTTCCAGCTGGAGGGTAATTTCTCTGATCCTACATCAGTGTTCTGATTTTGACACACAATATTGGGCTAGTTTTGTAAATTCTAACTCACTCAATTGCCCTCCATGGGAGTAAGGATTACTTACAGTCCTTAGAACAAAATAGGTATGTTTTCTTCAAATGTTGAAATCTATTATTTAGAGAGCTACAATACTTACAAGAAAAGGAGAAAAAAAATCGATTCTTTTTGCTAACAGGGCTGTCTGCCTTCTACATTATCTTACAGGATTCCGTCCTTTTGTTCACAGGGTGTTTCTTTTTAAACTATGTTTTACCTCCTACCATAAGACTATCTGCACTGTGAAGATCACAGAACCTGGAATAGAAATCTTTGCTCACAAGATTGAAAGTTTAGCTGCATTGTAATTATCTTCATTCTACTGCCTAAGATTATATTTCCTTGATGATTTGTATTTCCCTATGTTCCTAAAAAAGAACACAAAGTCTATTTTCCTAATCAAAATAATAAACACTTCACCAAATGCTTTGCTCATCAACACAGGACCCTGGGCTTGGCAAAGCGAGCTGATAGCTGGCCGTCAGTCAGAGTGTGAAGGGGATAAGTAAACACTGCCCCAGTGCTCATCTGCAAACAACTAATACGATACTTACTCCATGCCTTGTGCAGTCTGTCGTGCAATATCAATGAGTTTGATCATTTCAAATTTGGTCTCAATGATGTGTAGATGGTGATATAAACTGGACCCCTCACACCATTGTGTAACAATAGCCAACTGGGGTTTTGTTGAATAACCCATGAATAGCAAGATATTCACATGCCGTGTTTTCCTGTTGAAAAAAAGATCAGGCGGATCAGGAATCAGGAGAAACCCAGGCAAATGTATCACTGTCTAAATATATACTTCCAAACAGAAGCTGTTGGGTCAATCTCAACTTTTACTAAGATAACATGATAACCTGTTGCTAGATTCAGTTTAATTAATTATACCAGCATTTAGCCTTTCTTATCATGACATGGAATAGCTATTCTGTGGTAGGCACCGATTCCTCTTGCTTTTGCAAGCAACCCGGTACAGGACTGCTTGGAAGATGAAGTTACGACTACGTCCCCATGGAACAGTGATGGTTTGCAGGCAGGTCTGCTTTTGTGTAACCCCAGTCCAGCTATGAGATGTTGCTGCCCATAAGGAGGACATCCAAAATGAAATTCCAGTCTCAGAGGCTTCCAGGAAGGACAACTCTCATTCAGAAACCATCAACACACTTCCTTGACAAAGCTTCAGTTTTTCTTGGTGCTTTATTTGACAAGAATTTTGTGCTCTCTGTGGAGTCGGCATACAAGAAAGGATGGAAACTGGTTTGAAAACTGTACCTCAGTAAGGTTATGATGTGAACTTGTTTCCAAGCAGCACTGGGAGAGACTGGAGTTCACCACAGAGATTTGGCCAGATTAAATCAAACCTAGTTCAAAGACGGAGCAACACCAGACAGAAGAACTTCACAACGAACAATGCAGAGAGGATTATCTCAGTAGATACCCCAGTAGATTCAAGGCCTGAAAGAATCTACTGATACACTGTGAAATCTGAAAGATTCTCCTCACCCTCCAGGAAAAGTCAACCACATTCTTATTATCATCAAACGGACATGAAGAACTAGAAACCTCCAAACATACAATGAGATATTGTGAAGATGAAGCACCTAAGAATTCTGGAGTATTTCTTAGCTTTCCAGGGGCTGAGGAAAAACAAAGGCAATCTTCCAACACAGCTTGGTCCCGAAGGCAGTCAGCTCACTGTTGATGAAACCTGACAGACCAAGCTCAAAACCTGTGGTAGCTTCTTAAATCTACGCTGCTGCTGAAGATGGCAGAGCTCTTTAGGTTTTCTTATATTGAAAAAATGGGAGCCTAGAGTGTGAATCACTCTGTCCTCTCAGCGATGCAGACATTTCTACACTACGTGACTGTGCCTTTTTCAGGTTCAAGGATTTGTCAAGTGATGCTGAGAGTAACTGCTGAGTGAACAAAAAATAAGTGGTTTCTTGCAAATCCTACTTCAAAGCTAAGAAAGTAATGATGAAGACAATGGAAAAGGCACAACTACAGGTAAATCTGGCTTCTCTGGGTCAAAGGATAGGACAACTGACTATTTACTGTAAGTGCTGAAACGATCAACCACAGAGAAAGGCTGGAATCCATCTATGGGACTGCCAGCAGAAATCTGGACTAGGCATGAAGCACAAGAGTTTTGATTTCATTAAGGTCTCCTGAGCAGGTATGTCAAAAGTATGCAGAGATATCCAAAGTAGCATACCACAGAAAGCCTCCACTTCCACGAGAATGGGCTTAAGTGTATTCAGAAGTGATATTTCCTAGGGAAAAAGGCTGACCATCCCCTTTTCACCGTGTAGCTTACTGGGGATGTTCCTCCAGCACAGGCACCCAGCTCAACACATCAGTTTTCCAGAGGCAAAAAGCTTCTTTCTATTTTGTTTCTTAAAACAGAATTATGCTCAAGACTGCTCAAGATTATACTTGGATGCTCATGGTCTTCCCCAATAAATAGTCTATTGTATTGTGTTGATGGATCCTCTTTTAAGAGCTGAACCCAAGACATATACTTCCTCTGAGAAAGTACAAGCAGTAGACATGAGAAAAGAAAATAAAGAAGTGACTTCATGACTTCATGAAAAATACATTAAAAAACCCCTCAAAGAAAAGTCAACGCTACCGAACAGAAACTATTAAACAAGGGATAATATGGGCCAGTGCTGTAGCTCAAAACGAACAATCAATGCTCTCCTTCAATCTCAAAACATGGATGAGAGGAAAGAAAGGCCTACATTTCACACTTAGGCTTGCCTGTGCCCTGGAGGTAGTACAGTAGCAAAAAACCAGTCCTGTCTCGAGTGTTTGGACATACATATAGTCACAACATAGGTGTATAGACAAACACATACAGGGAAAGGAAGAACTAGCAGTGGTTACAAAGAACTATTTTCAAATGGCAAGTTATATTTTCTGCCCAAAGTATCATCATGGAGGAATAAGACCAATGTGTTCTAATGGAAATCTAAAATTCAATGATTAATGAAGAATAGATCTACACACATTATTTTATGCCATTAAAAATATTCTTACCTGAGCACTCCTACTTCATTTTTGAAAGCCTGTAATTGTTGAGGTGTGGGTGCCGTAACATTCAACATTTTCACTGCCACATCACCTTTAAAATAGCAATTTTTAATAAGTGCCATTGATACCTATTCCTCTATTGAGAAAATGCTATACAGAGCAACAGAAATACTGAGATAACCTATTTTCTAGCTTTCGTGAAACAAAACACTACAATATTAAAATAAGTAAATATTCTGTAAAATGTATAAAGACTGTTCTTATTTTACTCTGAGAAATCCTAGCCAAGTCAAAACTTTCCAAATACACATTTGAAATCCGCATTCATCAAGATGAATACTTCAGCCTTCCAAGTTACTATGTTCATCTTTACCCTAATGATTACTTAATTCTGAAGAACGTGCAAGAGCTGAGTTTCTACACACTGTGAAGTTCTAATGTTACCTATTTAGCGCACTACTTATTAATTTAAAAGTCACCTTTATGGCCGTTCAACATACTCTCCCCCATATGTCCATGTCTCCCTTGTACTGAGGAGCGCAGAATTGGACCCAGCACTCCCCGTGTGGCTTCACCAGTGCTAAGGGGAAGGATCACCTCCCTCAACGTGCTGGCAATGCTTTGCCTAATGCAGCCCAGGACACCATTAGCCTTCGTTGCCGCAAGGGCACACTGCTGGCACACGTTCAACTTGGCGTCCACCAGAATTCCCAGGCGCTTTTCTGCAAAGCTGCTTTCCAGCTGGGTGGCCCCCAGCAGGCAATGTTACTTGCTTAAGGATAACTGTTTGCCGCGCCGGCCACGTACCATGCCACTTTCCTTTGTAGACTGTTCCAAATGATCCAGATCCTATCCTTTGTCCAACTGTGATCTGTCCATCTGGTATCTCCCAATCATCACTTGAATCCCGTCGACCAAGGGTTTTCTTTGTATATACAGATAAACAATAAAAAGGAAGAGAGCAAGTGCATTAATGTCTGTGAAATCAGCTCCTTTGTTAAAGATTTGGTATCAGCATTTCATATCATTAAAATCCTAAAAGAAGTTTCTTTTTCAGATATTGTATTTGACTTTTCAAGCCAGCCATGCGTAAAACTTCAGCACATGGGTACACTAAATTATTTCCTGGCATGAAATATTTGCCACGAGTTTCTGGCAGTGTTAAAACCAGTAAATATTAAGAAAGTCTCATCAAAAAGAAAGTCTCATTTATTTTTCAATTCTTCTTCAATGCCAAATTGTGAATTTAAAAAAAAAAAGCAGACATTTTAATGTTTTCAGTTCTTAGTCAATCACAATGCTAAATTGTGAATTAAAAAAAAGCAGACATTTTAATGTGTTTTTACATTTGAGAATCACTAGAGAACTTTCCAAGTTCATGAATCAAGGTGGGAAAAGTTAAGCTGTTATTTGAAAAGAAATTGGCATTATAATATGAAGCACACCGAGACATTTGTGTGCAATGGAGTAAAAGTGAGTATAGTCAATTATTTAAATGATTTAGAAATCAGTCCCACCATTTCAATATTCCATTATTCATTGGTTTAAAGTGCTTGATCATTACCATACTCATCTTCAAAATAATTCAGAAGGCTTTGATGAAAGAAAACTGAGAGGAACATGGTTGTGTAGTACTTCTATACTATGAATACACCATACTAGGAGTGAAAATAGCTGATCTTTCCCTTACCATTCTATTTCTGTCTTCTGAGGATGAGGATGATTTCCTTTCCCGTTGGGGTCCTGGTGATTTCTGTAACGCTTTCACATTGGTGAGTGACCCAGGCAAAGAGGCAGGAGGTGTTGCAGACAAACCTGCAGTTGAACCTAAATTTCAGAAACAGGATAATTTTATCTGTAAGAAGCCAGCTTACAAGAATGTATCGATATTAAGTGCGAGAACTGTGTTTAAAATGCAGTATCTCCAAACATCAATGTAAATGTTAAGAGGGGACAATATATACTAGGAATATTGTCCTAATATTAGATTAGCGCTCAAGTCTTAGATTTTAGGAAGAGACAAGTCTATCGCAAACATTCCTGTATACCAGATAGTTCCCAGTCTCTTGTTCCTGAATTACCAGAAGGAATTTTTTTTTTTATATATATATTTCCTTAAATAGAAAAAAAAAATTTAAAAGTATTTTTTAATTCCACCAGTTTCTTGAAGAAGAAAAGTAGTAGCATTTTAGTTAGCAGTAGCTACCCCTCAGATTTCTTGTAGCTCACCTTTTAGGGACCTAATAAATAGCTGAAATACTGTACTTTGGAATCAAAACAGACTAAATGCAAAAAATTGAAATGTTTTCTAGTTGAAGTCTCCAAGTGCCACCTGAAAACCATTTGGCTGTTTTAAAGCTATCTGTTAGCAGAAAGCTCTTCTTTAAAAGTCAGTATTAGACTGCAGGAAGTCTAACAAAAAAAAAAAGAACAAGTTAGTTAGCTATTTGAAGCATATTCTATTAAATACAAAAAGAACAGTTTATCTGTAGCCTATATGTTATCTGAACAAATTGATGCAGGAAACTGTCACTAACAGAGCTGTGTTTCAGAGCCCCAATGGCTCTTTACAAATAGAGCACTTCAACTAGACACTGCTTTTTAAAATACACCATAATTATTCGTAACAAGGTTATGATGACCCTCCCAATGCAAAGGACATGAAATAGGGTCAACTGTTAATTAAATTCATGCTGCTCTGCTAAACAATGTATGTCATTGTACAAGACCTCCAACATTCCAACGCCTTCTCTCATGTCAGTGCTCTGGGAAGTGGCAGAAGATAAGACACCTCCTCGTATTCCTTCAGAAGCCCCCTTCTTACCAAAAAAGCATCTCCTAATGCCAAATTGAGTTAAAAAATTGACTTTGTGACTTTTAAAACTGTTGCTCGAATTCAGTCACTCGGTGTGTGCTAATTTATCAGACTATATATATCCATGACTGCCTGTCCTCACTGAGCTAAAATCCATACATTTAGAAGTGGAAGCACAAAATAATGACATACCAACATATCAAAAATGGGACACAGCATCCATAAACTTTGTCCCACGTGCTAAAGCAACAATAATGATGCATATTGGGTATCCTAACTACATTTACAAGCAGCTGGAAGCCAGTGACCTTAAGGATGGACTTCTGTTCATATTCATGTTATAGCCACAATACTGTCATTTATTTATTATGTTATTTGTCTGAAGTCACACGTATATTGAATTAAATGCATGATGTTCCCAGAACATGAGCGATTTTCCAAAAATTTACTGGGTTACAGACTTAGTCTGTAATAGCAAAGCTCTACTAAAATGTGTTTTCTTTAGAAGTAACTGAGTCTCCTACTTAAATTTTAATACCACGATATAGAAACACTAGCACAATATTCACCCTTCACCAAAAATGCTTACAGCACATGGTAGGACATTACCGTTAATCTGTTCATAATAATACCAGATGGCCTGTTTTCCAAGTTATTGGAATAGAATACTTCAGATAATGTTGGCTTAAGTCATTAGCTTGGACTGCGAAGCTGTACATAACGCATTCCATTCTGTAGCCAGTTTGCTTGTTGGGAACACCTGTCTTCTTACAAAGACTTCTGGAAAACCTTTACAAGTTCATAAGGTGAACTGCTCTTGATATATTCTGAAACAAAAGTCTTTGAAACAGCCAAGATGGTAGCATTTGAAAACCACGCTACATGCACTGAACTACCCATTTCTACATGTATGTGTATAGACATAAATATTTACATTTCATGCTATTACTCAGTAGTTGGTTTCTCCAGCATATGAAATCCCACAGAGTTTTGGGGGGATTTTGTGCAATACAACAGATCCATTGACAGCTTTAGGCCTGAGTTACCCCCAGAGTCAATGACATGAAAATGGAACAGTCTTATTTTACTGGTATAGGACACAAACAAATACTGTTTCACTGGAAATTTACTAACTAAATAAAACCTACATGGTCTAAACCATCTAGGGCCCCAATGTGGTACCAATAGCACACACTCAAAATGACATATTCATTGAAAGTTGACATGACACGTTACTTGAAAAGCTTGAGACCTAACAAGGTATCAATGGAAATGTTTGCAATTCACATTTGATTTCCTAGATTACTTTTCAGAACAAAGAACATTAAATATAGAAAACTGTTAAAGCACTGAACTGACTTAAACTGAACAGTCAAGGAAATTCTAAGTTAAGGGCATCGCTTTGTCTTTAAAATCACTGCAATGCAATCCAAGGACCTTCGCTTAGAAAAGTTATGTTAAGGTCCACGTTAAAACCTCAACTGTGAAATTCCTTGCTTTTGAAGATTTAAGTCAGGCTTTATTTATAGTCATTTTTAAGCGTGTAAAGGTGAAAGTGAGTATGTGTGAAAAGCACATTCAAAGCATTCCAGCCAGGCCAAGCAAAAAACAGAGGTGTTTTGATAAACTCACACACTTACATACACACGGTGTGAGGGTGAGGCACAAACAGCATCTGTGGTTTTACTTATTTTGTTTGGGTGAAAACAAGAAAGAAGAGCCCAACTACCTCTGAACACTGGGCCAGGCTCAAAATCAAACACTATTTCACTGGGGACAGAATGAAGGAGGGGACTGGGAGTCCGGGATTGGTATTTCCGAAGACAGCGCATCAGCTGGTTCAAAGGGGCTGTTAGAGAGAAAGAGACGGGCAGGCAGAGACAGAAAGACAGACACATAGAAGAAATGAAAGAAGTCATGGGAAATAACTAGGATGCTTTGACTCCTATTCATAGATTGCTTCTGTACTTTGAAGGAAAAAAAAAATCGTCAATTACTAATAACACTGTTTCAGGACTGGGAATAGCCAATTGTTTTCAGATGCCAAGCAGACAGCTTATGATCAAAAGTTAAAACCAACATGATAGCACAACATTTAAATGCTGGACAAAATGGGCAAAACTGTGGAGAGCCACACCTATCAACACATACAAAAATAGCTAAAACTGGCAACTTTAAATTAGTAAGCTTGCAGGATTAAAGGAAATTTCTTCTTAAAAAGCATTCTATCACTGGCATGAGAAAAAACGGCTCCATCAAACACAATGCAGTAGGTAGGTACCATCCTACCAACCACCAGATTTGGATGGGAGAAACAAAGTCAGTGAAAGCCCACAATACAAAACCTTAGAGATCTGGACAGACTGCACTAAGGTAATTCAGACTTTATTTATGGCGGAAGCAAGTTAAAATTAGTAGGAGACAACTGTGTTAATGATTTGGCGTTGGAAAAAACTGTCATATGCCTGCCCTACTTACTATTTCTTTATTTCTATATTATTATTATTATATTCATAAGAATAAACAGAGCACATAAGAAGCCCTCTCAGGAACTTGACAGCCAGTGGAAGAAGCAACTTAACAGTCCCGTGCACAACATGTGAAGAAAAATACATTTTCTGGCACTAGTTCTGACTTAACTGTGAATTAGGGCTGTGTGTTACTGGAGGAAAACCAAAAAGACCTGGCTTTAGCGTAAGGTCCTAACAACCTTGTTCCAAGAGTAGCACAGGCATGCAGTACAGCAAAGCAGCATCTTCAGCAGGGGTAGAGGGGGAGAAGAACCGGAGTATTTCATGCTGCTTTAGGATGCAGCAGTTCATATGGAAGGTCAACCTACCATATTGATGGTTTTCAGTGAAAATCCCTGTTGTTTCCATGGGTGGAAAGGTAACAACAGGCACAAAAATCTCTGAGATTGGGAGAGTTGGGAAGTTGTAGCGTATCTGTGTGCAGCCATGTGAGGGAATGAGTGTGTGTGTGTGAGAGCAAAAAAGTGATGGTGCAAGATAATTTTAAAACTAAAAAACTAGATGCCACTTCAAAACGTTTTCTCCTTCCGTCTCCCCCGCTCCCAGAATGACCGGCAAATGACTCAAACCTTTGTCAGACAAATATTAAAGTTCATGGACAAGCAAATGCAAATTCATTTTTTGTTCTAGTCATGTTTTCCTTTGTGCCTGTGTTTTTTTAGAAGGAAGTAGAACAAAGGGAAGGGACAGAGAGGTTGTGTAATTAAATATAGCACGGTAGCTAGTTTAAACACTACTTACCTCCCTCTCCTCGTAAACCCTGGTCTCTAATCAAGTCCTATAAATAAATAAATAAATAAAAAATTGTGTTTAATTTAGGTATTCTAATTTACATTCCAGAATCAATTGAGATTGATCAAATTGAGAATTCATAACCTCTTCTGTTGTCCGTGAAACAAAAGTTGTTTCCTACCCTGGCTTACTAATAGCAGCAACTCCAAAGACTATTTATAGCTACTAAACTCTTCAAAATTAGTTGCTTTAAAACAGCATCTATCAGTAGTAAAGTGAAATGTACACCACCCAAAATAGATGCTGACATGAAAATATTGATTTAAACATACAGTTGGCCAAAATGCATGGAGAAATATCGAACCAAACATTCTCATTACAGTGTTTGTGGCACAAATTATTTGAACTGTCATATCAGAAGCTGGGACACCAATTTCCTGTACTGAGGTACACCAGTCAAATGAGTTCTGCTTCATTTTATCTTGTAACAAAGCACCTTATTTGCATAGCCAGACGCACTCTGTTCTTCTCAGAAATAACTGCAAAAGCTTTCCTTCACTCGCAATCCACTATGAACTGAGAGTATCTTTTACAGCATATCCAGACGAAAAGCAAACTACACTAAGGATTTTCTAAATGGAAGAAAACCAGAAAATTCTAGCAGTTTCCCTCTGTATGTCCATATTCATCATCAAGCTTTTTTTTTTTTTTGGTTACACAATTATTTTATTGCTTTATACATTGGGCACTGCCGCAGAAAGAACTGGTCCTTCCTCTCAGCTGCATCACTGCCACATAACATATGCAAATGTCTATGCGGCCACACTCTTAATACTCGACTAACATTTCACCTGTTACTCAGCTCACATGCAAAACACATTTTGTACCTCATTGTCCAGGCAGACTTCAAGACTGCTCACCTGACAAATGATTCATTTCTAGGGAGCAGACTTAAGGGCAAAATACAACCTGTACATGTTAGCAAAATTAGAAAGAGGTTGATTTGACCAACATTTTGAGAGGTCGTAGCTGGCCTTATACTCACTATCAACCATTATTATTATTATTTATGATTCAGCATCCAGAAATTTCAAAATTGTGGAAAACAAATTAAGTGTGGCGGTTTCTGAATACTCCAAAAGAATGTTCAGAACAATATATACCAGGCTCTTGAAATCCTAAGGAACATTCAGTAAACCTGAACTCAGCTTACTGCAGTAATTTAATTTTCTTCAATGCCAGAAATATTAATTGAATTACAAAGACTAAAAATCCCTATCTTGCATATGAAGAAATATGCTTAACACATGCAATGGTTTGTGAAAGTGGCTTTCATATTCTTAAGGCTGTGGTACAGCTAGCAGCACGAGCCTTGGAACTAACGACAAAAAAGAGAGCAGTGGTTTGTGGCAGAATGTTGCTTTGAAAATGAAAGGACAGAACTGTCAAAAGGCAATTTCTGCTTTTGGAGAATGGGTTATTTGCATTCTTAGAGCTCTTAATAGCAAAAATATCAGACGTGGTATCTATGAAGATTCTGACAGACCACCAATGATTAGTTTAGAAACACAGCACTCGTGTGTACACAAGATAAATTTAATGCACTGATATTCATAAGGGAAACATCAAATCTCCTATTCCTTATCCAAACATTGTGAATACTTACATCAATATTGACTGGCTCGATTGTATTGATGTGAACATTGGGAGCTGAAGAGGATCGGTCGCGTTGCCCAAATTGATTCCGATGATCTTCATCTGCTGGTCGGAGGGGCTGTGGGATTGGAATGGATTTTGAAGGAGAAGGACTAGGGAGAATTGGTGGTCTGAGAAACAAAGTCAAGGAAAAAGAGGATTTAGGTCTACAAATGGCTTCAAACACTGCATAGTGGGTGTGGTAAGTCCTTTTCAACTATAATAATACATATATTAAAGAAACTGATCTAAAGGCCTGCATAAAAACAATTTATAATTAACGATCTCTACTCTCCTATGATCAATTGCAACAACTCTGTTGCACAAACTACCTAATCACATAGCTGTGAAGTGTTCTGAGTTAAAACAAAACAAAAAATCCTAACATACAATACCAAACTAGTAATAATAAATCCTGATCTGAAAAATTTACGTAGCCCAACATGCACTGCAGATAGCAAGATACTCTGCGGTTTCCTCACTTCAGAGTTAAGGCAATACATTATTTTTAATGGCAACCCATTGAGAACTAAAATGCTTAACATCTTACATCAACATTACAGTCAGAAGATGTCACAGAACAAATTGTATGGATGGGATTATTGTTCAATGAAAAGACTGAAAATTACATACTGGTCACGCAACATAATTGATTTGATATTATGGCCAATATAATATGAATTATTGATACTAAAAGAAAGCATATCGCCTCTTAAACCTCAACCTTTAAGAAATAACTTCGCATAGTGCAACACCTCAAATTCTATTTACAGTACTACACTTACGCAATGCAATAGATATGACTTGAAAGATAAGCGTTCAGACTATACAGACAAGTTTTCTGAAGAAATGCAAATGTTGCCAGTCAGAAACATAGAGAAAGTCGGTTATCCATTTATTTTGTTAAAGTACAATAAATTGCCATTTATCTCTTACTCAAGGGAAGGTCAATGACTGTTAAGTCTAATGATTCAATTTAATGGATATAAGGCAAAAGGTCAATGATAACCATTTGCCAATTTTGTCAAAGAAAACTTTATGTTAAAATACACATGGTATCTGACAACAAGAATTTACAGTAAACACAAGTCCTAAGAGAGGAGCCAAGTCCTCCAGCCATTCAGTTACTCACGGGTTAGCTACCGTGCCCACAAAGGCAATGCCCACAGGGAGAGGCTTCAAAAATAAAACACAGAGCAACATATAGTTGCTATCGGTCCTGGTGCCACCTCCTGTAAGTGAACACTCCTTGGCCTCTCCAAAGATCTTTAGGGGCAACAAGTGTTTTCAACAGCATCTCTTGATGTTTTTTCAGAACTGGGTCTGCTTTAAAGACTATTACCCTGCCTTTCTTTGAAGAATTTATATGGTTTGGCACCGACCCTAGAACTCAGAGCTATCTGTATCCTATGTGCCTGTCATCTTTTCCTTCCTGGCCAACAGTCTCACAATTGAGAATGGCAAAACAGCACTTGTGAATTAATTCAAGTAACAGCCTAGTAAGTCTTGTAATACAAAATTATGTTTGGGAAGTGTGTGTGTGGGAAGAATAGGTTGCGGGGTTCAGCCCTGCTTAACTTTTTTTAAAAAGTTACCTATTGTCACATGACAGCATATAAATATTGGGAACATACTGGGAAGCAATGAACTGAAAGTGCCAACAGACAAATCTCTGAGAAAGGGCCTTGAACAGCGTTTCAGAAACATTTTTTAAACGCAGCTGATTTACGTATACATAAGCTAAAGATTTCACTCATTGCTACCAAGTGCCTACAGGTACAGTCTTTTCTATTGAAGATGAGGAAGTTTTGAACTCCTGAACTTTTTTGTAAGGAAATCATGCAACTAGAACTCACATCAGGAGATGGGACACTGCGCAGATACAAGCGCAGGACTTGGTCGACATTCTAAGGCGCTCTATTCCCATGTTAAGGCAAGCGTGTCAGATGCTGCACAGAAAGATTTCAGAAGAAAAGCCTAAAAAGTGTCTCAGCCAGGCCAGTACTGTCATTGTCGGGATAGCTAACTCCTGCTCTAACTTCCTGGGAGTTCTCAGTAATAATGAAATTAAGGGAAATGTGTAACAACAAACATCAGATCATTGCACTGGGAGAGATTGTGAGACAGCATTTGAGCTCTGCCACAGGACGAGAACAGAAGCAATCAGATCTTCTGTGATCATGAGTAAGCCAAGGGAGAGAAAACCAAATTGCAGAAATACTGTTTCAATTACATCCTCCTTTGAGTCATAAATGGTCATCTGCTAAGGGAATCTGCAAATACTTCTGTATTTCTGGTCACAGGTCATCATGCCCATCATGTTGCTAGTACAGATAGCATGCTATGTCATGCCATATTTGAAAACAATTTGAATAGCTTTTTCTACTCATTAAATTTAACTGGGGGAAGTTCAGATCTTTAGAAAACAATTATAGGCCGATAAAGAATTCTCCTTTTTTTGGAGTCTCTAAGCTATTATTGGGAGGATCGCTAGATTTTAGACACCAAACAATCCAGAGATGGGAATATCATCAGCAGTTACCCACGTGCTCCATCTATACAATCAGGATTTCATTAACGGGTGTCCTTGGGACATTTACAAAAAGGTAGGTTGTTTTTGCTAAATGGGAATTTTGCTTGAAAAAGGTAACTAGCGAAGAGAAAGACACAAGGGGTTTACTAGCCAAGATGGCCTACTGAGAACACAAGTTCAGAAGAGATGACCACCAGCCTTGGCCTGTGTGCAGCAAAAGCTGTATCTTGATCTGCATCAAGATATTGATGTATGGAAACACGGCAGCACAAAGAACGCAGCAATCCTCTTAGCTACCAAAAGCCCACTCTTATAATATTCCTAAATTTTAGTTACTCCAGGAGGGCAGAAGGGACGCTGGAGCAAAAAGGACCAGCCATCATCATTTGGGAAAATGTGACATCATCTATTCCAGGTGAGTTACTAAACTAGTTCTGTAGCCTATGTAAACATATTGCCCAAAAAAAAAAAAAAAAAAAATAAATCAAGAGGACCAGAACACAATTGCTGCAAAGAAGTGTTTACTGTGGCATACATGTATAGCAGGCTGGGGCTTAAAGGAGCAGAAGTTTAAATACTAGGATCTAAATTTCTGTTGCTCCTGTAGCCTTTGTGAGCAGGTAACAGCCAACCTGCTAGCTAGAAGAGACCCTCTACAAGTAAGGTCAATATTCTGACCTACTGTAGAGAGGTTATACAACCTCATCTTGCGCACGTTCTTCCAGCCTCTTAGATGTGGGAATTCCTTTAACAAACAATTTTCACCTTCCCAGGCAACAAGCTGATAGAGTTGTCAAATCTCGATTTAATATGTTATAACCTTTCCTGGCAGCATGACAGAACATGCGTTTTCCTTGGACCACGTATTTAGGATAAGCACATTGCTGCCTCCCTTTTTGTCAAGACAAAACAGAAAGACGTTTTGTCAGGATTTACCCTTTGCCAATCACAGCAAGTGCCAACATGTCCACAGATTTACTATTCTACAAAACTGGGTCGATGGGAAAGAGGAAGGTAACTCAGAAAAATGCCCACATATCCTACCTTATACATAAACAATTTTATAAAATCATATACAGTACCTCCACTGGATCTCAGAAATTACAATGATAAAAGTTAGTTCACTTTACAAATACAAAAGAACATTTTAATACAGATTTTCCTGAATTTACTTTAACTCCCCAAGGTGATGTTTCAGATATCTAAGAGCTGGTCTACTCAGGAAAGATTTTTCTTAAAAGAGTTTTGTTTGGGCTCCAAGATTTTTGCTCAGTTTTTTTATTTTGCTGTAGTTAGGCAAATATTTAAACTGAAAATTCACATTCATCTAGCTTCAGCTATACAGTGCGTGCCACTTCCCTTTCAAAACGACAGCATCTCTACTGGACTGAGATTTTCCTGGTTCCCCTCCCAGCCTGAACAAGTGCATCCCAGTTTAGCCACAGGGTTCAGTGTAGTACAACACTATTCACCTGGCAGACTGCATACTTGTACCCAAGCCAAACCTACTGCAAGCTAAAATGCTTGGGACATTTACAAAAACGTAGGTTACTTTTGCTAAAGGAGACTTCTGCTTGAAAAAGGGTTTTGTTTTGTTTACACCAATGCTTTGTTTTGTTTTGTTTACACCAGAGTACAAAAAAGGGTTTTGTTTTGTTTACACCAGAGTATGATTGGCTTTGGTTTTTTGTTCCTGCTGTTAATGAAGATCACAGTGCACTTCCATTTTCAAGGTAAGGTCTGTTAAGGATCTGGGATACAATGGTATTTCAGCTACACTAGCAAGCAGGTAAACTGTAAATTTTGGGGGCCAAACATGTTCTAGTTTAATTATTGTGGTAGTCCATAGACATTGCCAGAAAACAAAGTAATTTTTTTTTTCTCTTCTTTCCCCACCTCTGCAGCCTGGAAATAGCCAGTAACCCCAAATCAAATGCTGATTTGGAGAAAAGGATAGCATACAAGTTTGTAATTCCAAGCTAGAGAAGGTTATTCTTATAGCATCCAGTCTAGAAGCACCATGGTACAGATCTGAAGCAATCATAACTTCTTATGGATTAGTGCATTTTTCTACACCGTGATACCTTGTTTTCATCCGTGTTGGCTTGTAGGTGTAAAACAATTGCCAGGACTATCACAACAACATGCATTTATACTGGCCTTTGGGCCCAGATGAAAGCTTAGCAATGCTTTCCTAAAATTTCTGATAGCTTCATAAACCAGGGGCTATCAAGAGAACTCCCACAGCTGTCATTAGTCCTCCAAACCAGGTTTCAGTTCACTAACATGTTTTTGCAAATAAAGTTTTGGGGAGCAAAGGGGTTCCCCCACCTGTTGTACAGACTAAAGATCATTTTTCTAAAGATCCTGATACCAGGCCTTTTCTGCTCAGCAAGAATGCATATCAAGTTAGATATTGTAGGAAGTTTGCTAACATTTACATGGAGTGATCTGGAAAAGGACTGGTGTCAGAATTTTTAGGGGAAAACTTCATCATTGTTTTACACAACAAAATACAAAGCTTTTGCTCACTTAAACACATGGGGATCTAAATGGTGTTGTAGTACTAAATACAATACTGGAAGACCGTGTCTTTATTTCCTTGGATTTTCAGAAGCTTTTCTAGACATTGAAATATGTTCGGCTGAGGCAGAAATGATCAGTGAATATTTGGAAGACAGAAAGGAAAGCAGAGCTGTTTAATCACAGGCTGGAGCCTGCTCTAAAGCAGGGACTGGCAAGTTTCCAAGAATGGTGCACCAGACAGTCCCCCTTCCTTCCTCAAATTTAGAAGATGAAGCATGTTGGGAAATGTTGTTTTTCAAAAAGCCAAGATGTTGCCAACCTGCTTACTAGCAGCGTTCTGCCTCCAGCAAAGCAGACACTTTCAGTTTCTATCGAGTCCAACCCGCCCCTGTGCTATTCAAAGTCTGATCACGCGCCCCCTTACCACCCACTCCACGGGTTACTTACCCTGCCATAACATCTGCCTCATGAGTTTGCTGAGCTTTGCCCAACATCACAACATCTGAGAGAATAGATGGAAGTTGAAAAAGATAACTTGGGAATATTTTGAACAGCTAATGTCTCCCTTTTCATATATTTGTAACATCCGGGGAAGTGTGTTCACAGGAATTCTGTGCTCATATTTTACGAGCAAAGATACAGAAGGAACTTTATGATAGTGCTATGAATGAAATGAATACAATGTATTACATACAGTTTGTGTACTTCAATTTTATTACAAATGGCTATTATCAGGGAGACCTACACTTTTAATAATTCTTTCCAGTTAAGTGCAGAGTATAACTAAAATGACTGCTTTGGCACAACAGGATAGTGCAAACTGAAAGAACTAAAACGGGACAAAAGACCTAATGTGGAGGCTGGACACATTTTTATATGGCGTTCAGGAATGTGCAAGTTGGACCATATGCGCTCCCCTCCACTTGGGGAGGAATGTCTGGAGGGACTGCCTATGGCTTACAGCTGGAAGAATGAAAGGCTACAGGACTGGATTGCTCTAGGATGTTACACATGAGCAAAGTGCAACAAAGTTCTCCAGCACGTTTAGCAGCTTTTGCATCATGTCCAACGGTCTTTTCCTTTACGTCCCTTTCTCTTTCCAACTTCTCCATTTGATCCCTTGACAATTTCTCAGCATGTCACACACGCCTCTGCTCTTGAGCTTGTCTTGCAACACAAACTCTTCCTTTCTTTGGGCACTTTGCCTGCCGCTGGAATCCCTTCACAAGGCTAAAAGATGAAGAAGGATGTCTGCCTTCTCTTTCCTCAGGGTTACCAAACGATTAGTAACGTCCCTTCCTCTGTGGGCTGTGTCATACAAGATGCTAGGAGAACAGAGAAATCAAAGGAACAATTATTAAACTAGAAAGTGTTAATAAAGCACTAGTTCCTCATATTTTCAATCCTGCTGCCCAACTCTCAAATTTCAATCCCTTACTCTCTTCCCAGACAAGATAGCCCCAAATGTCAGACGTTTTTTTTTTTAATTCCAGTTGAGCTGTTGTCCCATATTGTAGCAGTACCCTTTAACAAAACTGTGGATAAGTATATGCTTTTATAGAAAAGGCCAGCATTTCTTTTTAATTCTAAAAAAATTCAGAGAAATTAATATTTCCACAATCATATATTTAAAAAACAGATAAGTACTGTTAAAGAAAGGCAAGAGGATAACCGGAGAAAGGTATGGACAGTGCTATATGCTCATACAATAGCATCAAAGCTGCTTTTGGAAAGGAAATACTACAAACAGATGCTTGGGGAAAATTACATGACGTTGTAACATGCACGCTACTTGCGGACACCAGCTGATAATCAAAAACCATTTTCAAAATAAACAGAATTTTGAAGGCATGATGTATGTCCTTTTTTTTTTTTTTTAACAATGAAGCGTACAGCAAGGCAAAAAAGTAGAAAGCTAGAAACCTTTTACAGCTCCTGCAACTACAAACATTTACAGATACAAAACTTAGGAAAAGCTCCTTAACCTCAACTGGCAAGTATATTTAAATGTTAACACTCATATATACGTGAAGTTTAAAACCTTAAGGCATTAAGCAGCTTTGGTCTCATTTTTTCCTTTCCATTTTTACTTCACAAAACTAAGGCTGCCTGAAGCAAGGCATGTATCAATTAAGATAATCCATCCTGTTGTATCCTCATAAACTGCTAAGAAAGCACAAATGTGAAGCAGAGGCAACTGAAAAGTAGGAAAATTTAGCATATACCAGTGTTAGGATTAGGGCTATATAGTGTCCTTGGCACCCGCAGGCATTTAACACAGTTGGTATGAACAAGCTTCTTCACAGACTAATAGTTCTAGCCTGGTTATAATTTCGGCTGTTCCATGAGAAAGGCAGTGCCTGCTTAGCTTAGAGAAGCACAGCAGCAGCCTTGTCCACAATCTGCTGCACTAACATCCACAGGATATAAAGGCAACATCCACAACCTGGAAGAGGCACTTCCAAATTTACTTGAAACGGCACAAAATAATACAAATAAGAACATCGTGTCTCTCTGTACTTACCAAATGAGGTTCCCTCTGCAGAACTGTCAATCTGTTTTCCTGGGAGACATCATATTTGATGTTTCATAATATAGTCTTGTCTGTCCAGGGAATTTCTCTTCTAGTTAAGTCCATAGGTGCCTGTGTAGCTTCCAGCTGTGTTTCTGCTTTAGTTTGGGCACAACGCTCACTATTCCAAGAGAGCCTCTCTGCCAAATTCAGTTCATCTCCATGCAGCACACAAGTCCTAGGAATGTTTTTCTGAAGGCTTTTGTATTTGGTGCTCTTAATAAATCTGCATCAGGTTTCTTGACTTTGATACACATCCTTGAGTTACTTTTTCCTGGAGATTTGTTCAGCTATCTAGTGCTGGGTGGTGCCAGCGATCTTTTAGCTACTGGGAACATAATCTAAATCTGATCACGTATCTCTTCACAGAGAGAGCATCCAGAATCTTTGTTGGAAATACAGGGGATGGAGGCTGTGGTCAGTTTCAGAAATCTAATTTTACAAAACCTGGGTCTGCGGCAAACATGCTATTGGCATTTCCCAACATCTAAACAGGAGGAAGACAGCTGGTCTGGAGGATACTAAAGCAATGTGTATGTGGAAAAGCTACTAAAGCAGTATAATGAACCTGGAATTGGCATCTGTTCACACCAATCTTATAGTGGTGTGGCCTGTTCTGAAACAGAGGTATGTCACTTCAAGGCAAATAAATTGTAGTTCAATAACACAAACTACAAGAATTTGTAAGGATATAGTTTTGGTTTGTATTAAGTATAAAATCTTTCCAGTTTAGACCAGGTCTAAGCTACCACGCAGAAGAAGTCAGTTTAACAGGTAAGGCCCCAATTCTACAGAAACTTATGCACACATTTAACTTAGGTTCATTACTAATTTATATCATTCATGTGAATGAAAACATTCACTTCTTTGAAGTTAAGCATAAGTGGATATATTTGCATGAAAAGCCCGATTACAAAAATGTAGAGTTGCAAAGCAGTATTTTGAGTGTTTCTAAGCATACAGTACTGAAATGTTATGTTATTAAACAG